TTTGAAGATTGGTAATCTGACGAATTGCAGCAACATACTTTTGACGATTTCTGCTCGAGGCAGCCAGTCTACTATAATTAGACTTCACAGCGATGGCAATTCCAGTACATCTACAGACGATGAATTATGCATCATCACTGCACTTGTGGTGAATCTGATGACAAGTCCTTTTGACATATTATCGGAAGATTGAAGAAATAAACTTCCAAGTCATGATGCCAGAACCGGACATTTTGCCTCGCTGCCATTACGGACATGGCAAGGGTACCTACAACGTAGTATATGAGCAGATTTTTGGGAAGATGTTCATCTCACCGCAGAATCGCATTGTCGTCTCAAAGAATAGTTGAGTCTAGATACAAACCATGGTATCTCAAGCACTACTCTCTCCGTTACCACTACGAAGTTGGCAGAGCCTTCTCAGTTTTCTCACGTCAGCACAAGACATGACTCGCAGAGGAGGTCTACAATTGTGCACACTACAAGTGTTTGTGAACGCCCATCTCAACCGTCTGGTCTCCTTAGGACTACCGGACGGATTGAAACCATATTTTCTATGGTGGACTAGGAAGTCGAATATTTGTGGAGGATCCTACTTATCAGAGCTGGAGTGCAACACTCATCTCTACGTAGATGCATCACTTCAAGGCTGGGAAGTTCACCTTGACAACGAAGTGGCAGCAGGGAAATGGTCGAATCAGGAGCAGAGTCTGCACAACAACATGCTCAAGATGGAAGCAGTAATAAACGCCTTACTACACTGGTCCAGCATACTAAGGAACGCACAACTGATGATCCATACGGACAACTCCACAGTGGCGTTCTTCATCAACAAACAAGGGTCAAAAAGATCAAATAATATGTTAGACCTCAGCTTTCATCTATTCAGCATAGAAGACAACCTGAACATCGACATAAAAGCATCGCGCATTCCCGAAGCCAGAAATGTGGCAGCAGATGCCCTATCCCGTCCAATGAATCCATTACCGACGGAGTGGATGTTATATCCAGAGGTGTTCAGAGACATCATTCAGACAGTAGGATCCCCACTGGTACACTTGTTTGCAACCAAGTTCAACAAACAGCTACCAACATTCGTCTCTCCGTTTCCAGATCCACAAGCATGGGCAACAGATGCTCTAAGCATATCTTGGGTAGGACTAAACGCTTACGCGTTCCCTCCTCCAGCGTTAATACTGAAGGTATAACAGGGAATCAAGGTGACAAACAAGTTACAACTGATTATGGTCACGCCCTATTGGCCAGCGAGAGTGCGGTTTCCCAACCTTATACAAGATCTAGGAAAGCCAATCCTACAACTTCTAAGTAGCTAAATCTACTGATTCATCCACACACCAAGCAAGCACACTGAAATCCAACAATGTTTCAGCTACATGCATGGAGCGTATCACGACTTGCTTGAAGAAAAGAGGATATTCCACCAGAGCGGCCAAAGCAGTAACTTTAGCCTTACGTAGATCAACCCGTAACTTGTATGATGACAAGTGACAAAGTTTTGAGAAATATGCACGGAATAAAGGCTTCACTGCGATGGAAGCAACACATCCTCAAGTGGCGGAATATCTTTGTCATCTTAGACAGACAAAACGATTGAAGGGATCTACACTCTCTACATACCTAGCGGCCTTGAGCACAGTTATCACGATGGAATCGGGTATAAAACTGATCAAAGTACCAGAGATACTGGCACTACTACGCTCATTCAAGTTGGAAGACCAACAAAGGAAATTCAAGGAGCCCGCTTGGGATCTCAATGTGGTGTTACAGCATTTTACCAGTGAAGATTACGAACCACTAGAAAGGACATCATATGAGAAATTAACTCATAAAACCCTGTTCCTCGTAGCCCTAGCAACAGCGGCAAGGATGTCAGAAATTCATGCTCTAGACTTCGGAAGAACAAAATTTGACATGCATCGTGACACAACAGAGTTACGGTTTTAAATTCCATGCGCACGTCTAGGACAGGCTAGCATGAGTGATGGACCCTGTACTTGTAAGGACTTACTTGTACACGAAGTAGGGTCACTTCTCCACTTGATGCAAGCATCAAGAGATGGAGTTGCATAAATCCACACAGAATGTCAGGAGAAGATATTCCAGGATAAATCTGACAAGCTGTGGTCCCCCACATTCATCAGAAGAAGCTGGAAGAAAGGACAAATGCCATTAGAAGTACCCAAGGGGGTATAAGGACATAAATCAGCAGAGAATCCAGAGTGGCTTGACCCACCACCGTTTCTGTCGGATTCTACAAGCAATTAAACTTGTCAGGATAAGGAAAAATATGTAATTTTCTGATTAAAATTGATATTCTAACTTATCCTGACTCATGAGGTTAACCCTCCCAACCTCCGCTCATGGCACTCTGGATTTCCCTGCAAATCCAAGTGTCGGGCTCGAACATACGGAGAGAGTGACAAGCATGGCCGATCATGTGACCAACTTTTCGTGCCAAAAGATGGGGTAAAGGGAGACTACTGGGGTAAGTGATTTTACGTCCACTTTTTTCAAGGGAGCTTCAAAAGGGGATTCAAGTGTTCCACTATAGTTCACAAGAAGAAGAAGACAAGCAATTAAGCATGAGTCAGGATAAGTATAAAATATCAATTTTAATCAGAAAATTACATTTTCCTGACATATGCAACTGTATGTTAGGAATCATAACTGCATCAAATTGTGTACATCTGTTAAAGGTCACATGCAACGTAAAACACAACTTTGCAGATTCTGATACCTTTCGGTATGGACTTACCCAAACAAATCATCAAAAGTGCAAATTCAACTTATAAAGTTGAAAAATAACGCAATGAAAGAAAACGCGCGAAATCTTGGTTCAACTGCATGTGCGCAGTGAAATAGGTTCGTGCAACTTGGAAGCGGGTTGTCCGGTGAATACTCGGTGAAGGCTTTGGTGTGAGCTATTTTGCTAATGTTTTGTTGATATCTCACTGGCGCGAGCTTTTTATATGTTATGACAGTAAATTAACTGTTTATATAATTTCATTTGTCTATTTCACCACACGTTCTTCTTACCGAGACACTTTCTCAGTTCCATACTTAAAAGCAATGTCATTATTTAGTGTTGACAGAATTTCTAACTGTGATATAGATATGTTGTTGTCACAGACAAAACTCAATGCCTTGTTTTATTGACACCTGTGTGTCTGCCTGCCTGTCTGCTAATGACAATATTCAATACACAACTGCGATCACTGACCACATGCAATTTGAACTTAACACCTATCAGGCTATACACCATAAACAAAATGCATTGATTTATGGCCCGAGTTCGGTCTCTGTCACATTATGTAATTACACAGACAGGCAGGTGTGATACTTGAACACATGACAATGTTATGATGTCTGTTGATTGCAAAATGTTATACACAAAAAATGAGCATGTATTTACAAAACCCAACATCTCTATATATACACAATGAGCCGTGAGGACATCTGCAAATGAACCAGCTGTTACACTTGAGTGCACACCCACCTGCTCTGACTGGGTTCGGTATCCCGGCTGCTTCGTTTCTTGGGAAGTAAACCCAAGTACACAATATTGCACTTTTGATTTGCGATTGTACGCTTATAATTTTGTTTATATGTTTTTTCATAACCAGCAATGTATATTATATGTCATGAATAAGTGATAATTGTGTTTTAATTATGTTTGATTTTTTGGTTGCATGTGACCTTTAAGGTAGCCAAAGATGATATTGCTTGAAAACATGTTTAAAGAAGGAAAATGTCCCGCATGTTACACAATGCCAACAAATGTGTGGCCAAGAAGCAGTCGGAGCATCCGTGAAAATGAGTATCTGACCAAGACTGAAAGTTCGAAGCTTCAGAGAAATTGTTGAAGGCTGCTCAGTGGTGCAGATAATTTCTGTCAAACTGACATCTTCAGCCCAATCACAATGTATCTGCCTGTGAGGTCATAAGTCGTTTGCGAATGCTTCCCCAATGTGACAGACGGCGTTGCGACGATTACACATCAAGCAGACATTTTAATGTCTCAAGTGTTCACAAGGTCACTTTTGAGTAGGGTGAAGTAATGTCTCTGCAGTTAAGAGAGAATGGTTTTACTGTTTTGGAACAGTGTTGACCACCTGCATGTTCCTGGGAAGCTGATTCAGCCGTATGGTATTGATTCCATGCCATGCTCGTCACTTCGGTTGATACCAAAGATGTTTGCATTGTGTTGCTGACCCAAAAGTCACCAATCCTTAACTGTTTAGTTGTCAGATGACATCTTTGATACTGAGGAACATGAGTGCATTCAGTTGCATATAGTGGCCATGGTGGTATCTAATAATGATGTGCAATGTTAGTCACAATAAATCCTAACACAGGTTTTCTCTTGCCCATGATTACATGTCTGTTTATACTTTGTGGAAGATCCTATGGGGTTAACCAATTATTATGCACCAGGAGATTTCAGTCTGGTTGCTTTTTAATCTCATTGAATTGAAGGGGAATTGATGGACATCAGCTTTGTAATATGATGAACATTTCAGAGTACATTACCTCATTACTTCATCAGGTGGAGGATTAAGGACATACTCTGAAACGTTGTTCCTCATTACAGAAGTTCATGTCCATATGTTCCCTCATTTGCATATGAATGCCATTCAAAGCCTTGAAACGTTTAGTTCTATGAATTAAATCAGTTCTGGTTTTGCATACATGAAACTAGTCTTTTAGGCATGGTCTGACATTTCTGCATGCTAGTTACAGGTTTCAAAGTGACTCTAAATGGAATGTGAAGATACTTGTTTCTTTCCAGAAATGTTGGTTAGGGGTATTTTATGTCACCTGGAAATGCTAGAGTCATGGTTTTAAACTGAGAATTCAAACAAGTGCTTTCTAAAGAAAGGTTCTTGTGCATGAACTACAATTTTACATGTATAATGTAGTACATTTTGTACGCAAATGCATTTTAGCAGCTTTCCTTACTTTCTCACTCTTTGTAACAGGTATGTTGGCAAGTTCATCCCTAGAAAAGAGCAAATCGCCCTCCTTGGTGACAAGATGAAACGCTTCAACAATGTTTACATCAAGAACTTGAGAGATGAGTTATATGATGACAAGATTAGGGAATTGTTTGATCCATTTGGCAAGATCATAAGTGCCAAGGTATGACCTTTTACAAAAACGCTTGGTTAATCTCAACATTTGATATGTTACAAGTCACCTGACGATAAATTCACCGAAGTTCATAATGAATAGGCAAACTTTTGTCTGTAATGTTTGAAATAGCTCAAGCAACATTTTGCCTCGCATGGTAAATGATCACTAATTATAACCTATTTCCTACTGTGTGAAGGATATTCTGCATCCGCTTATTGAAGTTACTTGACATAAACAGGTGTGCGTTTAACCTTTGGGAATCCGTATTTGACTGAATTGAATGTTTGTTTGCAGGTTATGACTGATGAAATTGGCAAGTCTAGAGGGTTTGGTTTTGTTAGCTATGAAGAACCTGAGGCAGCTGAGAAGGTGTGTATTGCTTTAGTTGATCTTGATCTAATTGGCTCTTGTGGGCGTGTCACATTAACACTACCTGTGTTTATGCAATATTAAGCCAAATGTGTTTTTTGGGGGTGTTTTTTTATATTGTCAAGCTTTTGGATCACATTCTAATCATTGTTACACATGTTAGTGAAAAAAACCCATACTACCCCTTTTACTTAAGTTGGCTGAAGAGTTAAATCTGTCTTTATATAATAAAGTAATGATTGTCTGTTAGGCCGTAGACAACTTGAACGGCATGGAGCTTGGAGGGGGGAAGGTGTTGTATGCTGGGAGTGCACAAAAGAAAGCAGAAAGTCAAGCTGAACTGAAGGACAAGTTTGAGAAGATCAAAATGGAGAGGATCAACCGATACCAAGGTGTGAATCTGTATGTAAAAAATCTGGATGATGTGGTTGATGACGAGAGACTTAGGAAGGAGTTCTCACAGTTTGGAACCATCACCAGTGCTAGAGTAAGTAAACTTTTGTTTTGTGGAAGATTTCATAAATGGTTGATATTGTATCATGCCCAGACACCCTGGTGTGTAGCTTTACCCAAATAGCTGTTCACCTCCTTAATACTGGGCAATATTGAACATCAGACAAGTGTATCCATATGGCACAGTTGCCATGAGAGATTTCTGTGATCACTTGCCTGTACATTAGTAAAATGTGAATGATTTGTTAAATTTTTTGCAATTGTCTTCTTCAGCAAACCGCACAGTTTAACCAGATGTTCCAGCCAACTGGAGGAGGTTACTTTGTGCCCACCATGCCCCAAGCCCAGCGTGGATTCTTTGCACCAACACAGATGCCCCAGGTCAGAGCCAGTCCCAGGTGGCAGACCCAAGTCCGACCCACGCAGCCAACTGCTGGTGAGTTGAAATGTTTAGCCAGTTGACCCTTCTGTTGTTAAAAGCTTGTAGGAGTATTTCAGAAGTCTTTTTTTTTTCTTATCCTGACTCATGATCTTTTGCTTATCTCCCTTTCCCTTGCGAATGGTAGTGGAACTCTTGAATCCCTTGAAGTTCCCGAAGCGGACGTAAAACTACACTCACCCACGAGTTACCTCCCTTTTGCCCTTTCCCGCGCAAACAGTCATGTGGCCAGCCTTACTTGTCACTCTCTCCCTTTTCATACGAATAACCAAGCGTATCAGCACCTATCTGCAGCATCGAGGTCTACGCAGTGCCCGGTTATCTTGACGACAGCATACAGGTTCTTCAAAGTGCCGATCAACTCAGACAGCAGCTGAATTTCACAATTAAGTTGCTCACGCAACTAGGATAGCTAGTGAACCCGATGAAGTTGGAGTTAGAATCAAACAAGATCTTCAATTGCTGGGAATAAGAATTATCACAACACAGAATCGAATTGTATCTGTAATCGTAACATGTATGATGACAAGTGGCTGAAGTTTGAGACTTCAAGGTGGAAAGGCTTCATTGCTATGAAAGTTACTCATCCTTAAGTGGCGGAATACCTGTGTTATCTTAGACAGACTAGACATCTGAAAGGTTCGACATTATCTACATACAGTCAGCTCTCGTTAATCCGACACTCATTAATCCGACAATCACGTTAATCCGACAAAAAATTAGGGAACCATTTAAAACAGTGATAATTACTCTCTCGTTAATCCGACATTCTCGCATTCCGACTCCGACACACCAATCTAGCAGCTGATTATTGTAAATACAGTGTAAAAACATTCGTTAATCCGACAATCAACACAGCCGGTCGGATGATCCGACCGTATATCCGACCGTATACAAACAATCACACGTGAGTGATAATTAGCGTGTGCCTTACTGGCTGCTTGACAGCGGCGGCGTCAGTGAACATCAAAGTTGTTAATTAGGAACACAGGATAATTAATTGAGACGATTTAATCAAGAAATAACAGTGGAGCGAGCTGTATAAAATGTTTATGATACAACCGACATGAGTTTTCATCACAAGATATTGGACACGAGTACACCACCTGCTAAGCGACCCCTTGTAGAAGTTACGCCATTGATCAAGAAAGAAATCTCCTTTTGAAGAAAGACAAACCCCAGACAACACAACAAGAAGTCATCACTTTTGCTGACACACCACTTAGATGTGTTTGATGTTAATGACCATCAAAGATTTTTTCAAGTTAGAAATTATATATGTTATGATACACGCCTGAGTGTACATTAGACGTCCACATGTTATTATGGAATTAGTTGTATGGAAACTGTAACATCCGGGTCATAATGGCAGCTGATATGCGGTAAAAACAAACGTGAGTTTTGTGCCAATGTGGTCATGAAATAGATATGAAACTGTTCGCTTATGTGATTGTATATGTATGTTATGCCATCTATGAATGTTAATAAATGAAAACAAGTATGTATTGTTAGTATTTTTTATTTCTGTGAATATTTTTACATACGATGAAGATAACTAGATCTACCATTTCTGATATGCATGCAACAGTATGACGATCATGACATTTAGTAAACATTGATATTTTCACACAAATACATTAATCCGACATTTTCATTAATCCGACATTTTCGTTAATCCGACATATTTCTCTGCAACCACAAGTGTCGGATTAACGAGAGTTGACTGTACCTCGCTGCCATCAGTACAGTGGTTACCATGAAAACAGGCATCAAGTTGACGAAAGTATCAGAATTACTTGCTCTGCTGAGATCTTTTAAACTGGAGGACCAGCAAAAGAAGTTCAGAGCTCCGGCCTGGGATCTGAATGTAATTCTACGTCATCTTACGAGTGATGCCTAAGAACCTCTAGACCAGACTACCTTCGTGTTGCTGACACAGAAGACTGTTCCTGCTTGCGCTAGCCACGGCAGCTTGAATATCAGAGGTACACGCGCTTGACTTTGGTCGAACCAGATTCGACACGGGGCAACATGCTGCAGTTCATCTAGGACTTAGATGGGACTTCATTACCAAGGACCAACCACCTGGTCAGCCAGATAGACAGTTCCACGTACCAGCGCTATCTACAATCCTCGAACCAGAGAATATAGAGGACCTATTCTTGTGCCCGGTTAGAGCCCTGAAGATATATCTTCAAAAGACTTGAGACAAGGAGACGAAAATTCAAGAGCCTTTTTATCCCATTATCCACAGAGACATCAGCAGAAGTCTCAAGAATGGACGATATCGTTCTGGATGAGAGCCGTCATATTGAGAGCCTACAAAGCAGCAGGACTAGAACCTCCAAGAGCTTCCAACTCACACGAAGTCAGAGCACAAGCATCAACACTAGCTCTGCACGGGAATTGCTCTATGTCAGCAATTATGGAGGGCTGCTTTTGGAAGTCGGACATGGTGTTTGCCAACCACTACCTCCGAGACATAGCCACCGAAGACGTCTCAGGCATTCACGAATTTGGGCCTCTCGTTGTAGCACAGCAACTAACGGTTCCTCAAAGGCGCTGAGTTGGAAAATCTCACCCTTTATCACGTTGACTTGTTGATAACTTTTACTAAGGAAAAGTATTAGTTTGAAAGTCCATGCACGCAGTCTAGGACAGACTAGCATGAGTGATTAAAGATGCTGTACGGGTAAAGATCTTACCTGTACGTGAAGGGGTCGCAACTCATTTATGACAAAGATCTTATCATAATCTATGGGTTGTTATAGATATCTAGTAAAAAGAAGATACTAGTATGTCTTAAGCCACATGAATCAAGATAATTCAACTTGTCTGAGATGGAAGTAAGACAAGAAAGTGGTCCTCCCGAGTTATAAAGGAAGTTGGAAGAATAGGATCACGGAAATGCCATTTCGCAGTTCCCATGGGGGGATACAGGATGTATCTAAGGACAGCTGATGAATCCATGAAGTGGCTTGACCCACCACCAATCCGTCGGATTCTATAAGCAAAATTGATATTTTTATACTTATCCTGACACATGACGAGAAGCCATCCTAACCTGCCCTGCTGGAAACACTTAGGATTTCACAGCAGATCCAAGTGCATGGGCAGAAAAATCAGGAGAGAGTGACAAGTAAGGCTGGTCCCATGACTGTTTGCGTGGGAAAGGGCAAAAGGGAGGTAACTCGTGGGTGAGTGTATTTTTATGTCCGCTTCGGGAACTTCAAGGGCTTCAAGTGTTCTGTTACGATGTTAGATTGTATTATGATTGCTCCCCTTAGGTTTATACAATGACTGGTCCTGGGATCCCATGATGCCTAGCGTGTACCAAGATGGAGATGTATGCATTAAAGGTGAACGAAAGTAGATCCGCTCGTTGTTATAGAATTCTGGAATGGCAAAGCCATGTCACCACGAGAACCCAACGAAACATGGTGTCAGAAGTGAGTAGGGTCGCATTTTTGCCGACAATGTGATCAATTGAGCTGTCAGTGAGCGTCATTAGCGTGATAACGATGGCTGAAAACGGTCACGTGGTTGAACAAGGCGAAGCACATGGCCATGATGGGGGCAATGAGCAACCAGAAGTGCCAGTCCAGGGTAATCAGGCTGCTGCGGGAAGACGCATAAACGTTCCCTTACCAGCGAAACTCGAGCTGAAAGGTAGTCTGGCTACGTATTGGAGGAAATTCCGTAGGATGTGGGACAATTATGAGATTGTAACACGACTGACTGATGAAGATACGAGGTTCAGAACTGCTACCCTGTTGACGTGTACAGGCGGTGATGCTCTTGACATATATGATGGTCTGTCGTTTGCCAATGATGTAGAAAGAAATAACATTGATGTAGTGTTACAGAAGTTTGAAGAATTCTGTCTTGGAGAGGTCAATGAGACTTACGAAGCTTATGTATTCCATAAGAGACACCAACAGCCAAGTGAAAACATTGACACTTATGTTACACATCTTGGAAAGCTAATCAGATCGTGTAATTATGGAGAGATAGAAGCCAGATTACTGAAAGATCAGATTGTTGCAGGTGTCAAAGATGAAGCACTCAGAAGTAAACTACTAGAAGTCAGAAACCTCACTCTAGCAAATTGTATTGATATCTGTAGAGCATATGAAGCAAGTCAATACCAAACCAAAGCTATGAATGCTACATCAAGTCATGATGAGGTACATGCTGTAGCTAGAAAGAACAAACTTAAGAGACCTGAAAAGAACCGAAGATTTCAAAAGAAAGGAAAGAAAACGAAAGTTTGCAAGTATTGTGGAACAGATTGTCCGCCAAAAGATTGCCCAGCATATGGGAAAACATGTAGCATCTGCAAGAAAAGACATCACTTTGCTTCCATGTGTAGATTTAGAAAATCTCAACCAGTTCATTTGGTGGAAAATGAAGATGATAGCTGTGATGAAAATGACAATGACTATGTCCTAGCTGTGAACACTGATAAAGATTTTATGAAAACCATATGTGCAAACATGAATGTGGAAGGTCATGTGATGAATTTCCAGTTGAACAGTGGTGCGACAACTAAAGTACCGTCGTAAATGCTAGAAAAATGCTTTTTGACTTATATTTAAAAATCAGAGGTATTACAGTTACATAAATAACAAATATCACTTTAAGAAACATCTACCTAATGTAGACCGAGGGAATAAATTTTGAGACATGCCCTAAAATGTGTTTTTACTGATGAAAATACCAAAAACTTAGAAAAATAACGGGTAGTGGGACGTTATTTGATACAAACATTAACTGCCTGTGCTACGTCATCAGCATGCATGGTATCGACAGGTGAAATTGACACCTGAGCACACGCTCGGGGGAAGGGATCATCTCAATAGATGTTTTCTTCAAAATGTTGAATATGTGTACGTATAGTATACGTATTGGTTATGTAAGGGATCATTTGTGTATGTGTGTTTGTTTTGAAATAAACATACGAATTACTGTACATTGGAAAGATTCCTATCACTTGTGTTATCTTATCGATTGGTTGTAGAAAATAATGTGCAACGTTTTAATAAATGTTTTGCCTGTCAACAGTATATTTCACCGCAAAAATATGGATGTAATTCGGTCACTTTATTCTAGTTGTGAACATTGGCCAAAGATTTAACGAAGTCACTGGTGTAGCTTCTTTAGAATATATATATTATTCTTCTCATAAAGTTTGTAGACCGCCTGTCTAAGTACTCCCTTGTCAAAGTTGTCATGGATGGTTTTTCACGTCCGGTTTTGCTTTTGAGGCGGTCTCTGTCTTGTCTGATTTGTGTACAATATTGTAAACTTGTTGGTAAGACATACCAACAGCTCTACAAGTTCTGTAATAAACCCTTTCTAAACTAATGAAAGGTTTACCTCTGTCTTTTTCAAGCACAAAAAACTTATAAACCTTTGCAACAATTGACTGCAAATAGTTGGCCATAGTGGACGCTGTGATAAAGATGTGCATGCATGACGGGACACTTTTTTATCAAGACTTAACATTTATATTAATATTTCTTCAATAAAGAAACGATAATTAAGTAAAGCAACACAAACATTCAACATTTATTTGTTAAAGAAAAACGTTGATTCATATTTTTACACCAACTGTATTATTAGCATAAATGTAAAGACTATTTCAGATTTCTGTTGTTGAACTCTGAAAAAATCTTAAGTTGTTGCTTTGGTACCATATTCTCTCCTGTAAACTGCTCTTTAAATACATGGGAATGTTAAATCGATTGAAATAAAAATTAGGTACACTATAGGCGAGTTGATATATTGACAACATAGTACATTTATCACCTTTATCAAAGTATTAAGGCTAAAAAGCATTTTTCTAGCATTTCCGACAGTACTTTAATGTTATGTCCAGTAGAGACTATGTTGCTATTACAAAGGATACAGCACTTAGGAACACAGAGAAGACACAGAAAAGTCTAGTGATATACAACAAGACAGAAATACAGACAATGGGTCAGAAGATTTTCACTGTGACAAACTCAAAGACTGATGAAAGCTATAAAGTGAGATTTGTGATTGTTAACCAGGACTGTAAGTCTATTCTGGGAGTCAGGGCAGTCCAACACATGCGTCTGATTACAGTGAATAAGGAGAACATTGCTAAAGTGGATGTTAAGACTGATCCAGAACAGGAGCTGTTGAAGCAATATGAGGACGTCTTCAAAGGTGAAGGTCAGCTTGAAGGTGAACTGCATTTAGTGACAGATAGCACAGTGACACCCGTCAAGTTACCATGCAGAAAATGGCCTCTCACTGTGAAGACCAAGGTGAAAGATGAACTGGATAGGCTTATGAAGCTAGGAATTATAACACCAGTCGACACACCAACAGACTGGATCAGCAGTTTAGCAGTGGCGATGAAGACCTCGGGAGCTGTAAGGCTCTGCATTGACCCAAAACCATTAAATAAGGCACTGAAACGGAATGAATACCCGATTACAACCATAGATGATATTCTGCCTGAGTTACAAGGAGCCTATTATTTCACTCACCTAGATGCCAAGAATGAATTTTGGCACGTCTGCCTCGACCAAGACAGTAGTTACCTGACTACATTTGAAACGCCCTTCGGAAAATACAGATGGCTCAGAATGCCATTTGGCATCTCCCCAGCCCCAGAAGAATTTCAATGGAGGATGGACAATGCTTTGAAAGGGCTGAATAGTGTTTTTGCTGCACATGATGATTTGCTTGTATGGGGCAAAGACAAGACACCCGAGGATGCTTCCATTGATCATGATAAGAATCTTGAAAATCTGCTTCTACTATGCAGAGAGAAAGGTCTGAAACTGAATAAAGCGAAGGTTGAGTTGAAGCAGACACAGGTCAGTTACCTAGGTCATGTGATATCTAAGGATGGTTTGAAGGCTGATCTGAGTAAAATCGATGCCATTGAGAAGATGCCCTCACCAGAAGACAAAAGTGGAGTACAGCGCTTGATGGGAATGGTTGGTTACCTTCAGAAATTTGCTCCAAATCTTTCAGAAGTATCTGCGCCGTTGCGTGAGTTAGTAAAGAAGGATATCAACTTTCGCTGGGATGAAGAGGTGCATGGACAGGCTTTCAATGAGATCAAGAAGATCTTGTCAAGTCCTCCAGTCCTAAGGTACTTCGATATGGATTGCCAAACAACAACACTTCAGTGTGATGCATCTGAAAGTGGGTTAGGAGCCTGCTTGCTCCAAGATGGACAGCCAGTTCAGTATGCGTCGCGGGCATTGACCAGTACAGAAAAGGGTTACGCCCAGATAGAGAAAGAGATGTTGGCAATGGTGTTTGGATTAGAGAAGTTCGAGAGATATGTTTATGGACGAAATGTGATTGTTGAGACTGATCACTAGCCTCTTGTGACAATACATAAGAAGAGCTTGCTATCTGCGCCAAAACGTCTACAGAGGATGCTTCTACGAACGCAGAAGTATGAGTACAAAGTTGTGTACAAAAAAGGGAAGGAGATGTATGTTGCAGACACACTCAGTAGAGCCTTTGTAACGAGACGAGAGAAGGATGCTGAAAGAGAAGAAATCTTCCAAACTTCATTTGTGAGAGAGCTACAAATCATAGACATGACGGAAAACATTGCTGTATCAAGTGAAAGACTGCAACAGCTACAAGTAGCAACAAAGGCTGATGACAACCTATGTCACCTGATGAAAGTAATTCAGCAAGGATGGCCTGAAGAACTGCACAGAGTTCCAGTGAATTTGAGACCATTCTTCAACTTCAGAGAAGAATTATCTGTGCAAAATGGACTAGTGTTCAAAATAGACAGAATTGTTGTGCCTACAGCTTCAAGACAAATGATTATGAACAGATTGCACTTGAGTCACACAGGTATACAGAGCTGTGTTAGACGAGCACGTGAGACAGTATATTGGCCTAACATGTACAGGGACATGGAAGACTACGTGGCAAAATGCAGTGTGTGCAATAGCATACAGAGTAATCAGTGCAAGGAGCCAATGATAAGTCATCAGATTCCAGAGCTGCCATGGCAATATGTAGCTTGTGACTTGTTTGAATGTGACAAGAGAGACTATCTCATTACGGTTGATTTCTACTCTGATTTCTTTGAAATCGATCGCCTGGATGGTAAAGCAGGAAACGAAATCATCACCAAGCTCAAGGCCCACTTTGCCCGTCATGGAGCCCCACAGGTGGTGATAACTGACAATGGTCCTCCATTCAATTCTCAAAGTTTTTCAGACTTTGCATCAGCGTACGGATTCGAACACAATACTAGCTCTCCAAGATATGCCCAATCCAATGGCAAAGCTGAAAGTACAGTCAAGATCGCAAAGACATTGCTACAGAAATCGCATGAGGCTAAGACGGATCCATTTCTAGCTCTCCTTGAGTTACGAAATATTCTAAACGAGAAAATGGGTTCATCACCAGTACAGCGTCTTTTCAGTAGACGTACCAGAACTCAGTTACCAATGTCCAAACAACTTTTGAAACCAGAAATACAGCACAAAGTGAAACAGAGGCTTATTGAGAAAAAAGCTGTTCAGATGTCATTCTACAACAGGAATACCAGAGAACTGCCGTCACTTTACAAGGGTGATGTTGTGAGATTCCAGCCTCCGGGTCACAGGAAATGGATTAAAGCTAGAATTGAGAACCAGGTATTGGTGCATGTTGCGCACAATTTTCAGTATTACATTTATGATTTAGCATTATATTAAGTAATTGATACTAAGTAGTGTTATGCAGATAGTTTCCATTGATATATATGCTTGAGTGGCAAGAATTATGTTCATCTTATTTGAGTAATGCTGAAAGGGTTTAAAGAAATGGAACTTTAATAACCTCTAGGGGTGGTTACTTTGTCTGAATATTCATGGACCTTATACATGTTTTTTTTAAAGAAAGAGGGATGTTATGATGTTAGATTGTATTATGATTGCTCCCCTTAGGTTTATACAATGACTGGTCCCGGGATCCCATGATGCCTAGCGTGTACCAAGATGGAGATGTATGCATTAAAGGTGAACAAAAGTAGATCCGCTCGTTGTTATAGAATTCTGGAATGGCAAAGCCGTGTCACCACGAGAACCCAACGAAACATGTTCCACTACCATTCGCAAGGGAAAGGGAGATAAGCAAAAGATCATGAGTCAGGATAAGTATTTTAAAATATCAATTTTACTTGAAAAATTACATTTTTCGTCTCCAAGAAATTGGGTATGTGCTGAATGTACAGAAGTATTTGTTAGACTAAACATTAGTTGATCCAGTTTTAAATGATGTAGCTAAACCTGTTATTGAACATTGTACACTTGCTTGTGTAACAAGTTATAAGACTGTTCACAGGAATTCTAATGAGTCACTTCTGAACTTTGCTATAGTTTTGGTTACATGGAAGTAGTCTCCAGCTGTTATGAAACATTTAAAGAAGTGCTGTAAATTAACTACCCTGCAAAAACTGACCTGTTGCTGTTTGCAGGTTTCCAAGGCATGCCTGCCAGTGGCCAGATGCGCACCAGTGCCCCACGAGCTGGTCAGCCAGCTGTCCGTGCAGGTGTCAATGCCCGGCCAATCACTGGACAGTCTGGTGCAGTGCCAACCAATCCCAATGCTCGCATGGCTGCGATGGGCCCCAGTATGGGCAACCGACCAACAGCTGCTGCTCCAGCGTTGCCGAACGCCCCCACCAGACAGGGATTCAAGTTCAACACCCAGATGCGTAATCCCCCAACAGCTGTACCACAGTCACAGGTCATGCAGCAGGTAGCTTTAAATTTCAGCTTGTCTTCATTTTCTATTGCACAAGAGTAGGCATCCTTCAATTTTAAAGACTATACTTCTAGGCTTTTAGAGTGATTTCAGTCAATCAGAACCTCAATTGGGTTCAAATGTAAGGTTTGTTATCTTAGTGATAATTTGATTTGTTAGAGCCACATCGCTGCTTTTAGTAGTAATATTTGACCTACATGTCTTCAAGTGTCTGAAACATAGTTCAGTAGAGCTTTCTGCGTTACACTTGACTGAAAAATGGCTCAGATGTTTTCGAGACATCTTTCTGTTGAAATGTTGTAGTTGGATGTTGTAATACTATGGTTTATATCCCAACATCTAGTCAACCACCAGTTTTTATGTTATGTCTTCTGTGTGATGCAATAGAACTAATGTATGAACTAAACAATCTTTCAAGATGGAAGTTTAGGCATGTCAACTTGTGAAGCTACAATACTGTTTTGAAGTTACGGGAAGATAAGTTGCTAACAGGTCTTCATTCCTCCTGTTACAGCCCCAGCAGTCGGTTGTCATCCCAGGGCAGGAGCCTCTGACAGCCTCCATGTTGGCTGCTGCACCACCACAGGAACAGAAGCAGATGCTAGGAGGGAGGCTGTTCCCTCTGATCCAGAGGATGTACCCCGAGCTTGCTGGAAAAATCACTGGCATGTTGCTAGAGATCGACAACTCAGAACTTCTTCATATGTTGGAGTCAAACGAGTCTCTCAAGGCAAAGGTAGGTGGAGCAAAGAAAATATCTCTGTATGTGTACTACTAAACACCTGCAATTGCAAGACTGTTGCAATATCCACCAGACATTATAAACAGAATTGGGGGTTTACCTTTTGAGTAAAGTATTTTTCAGATTTATTGTCTTGTAATCCTTTTTGAGTGAATTTTCTGTAAAACTGGATGCAGTATCGGATTGATATGTTTGTAATTTCCTGTCTTGATAGATCATACTTGGCAAAGCACTGAGAATGAAAACGGCTTTCAAAATATTTTGGCTATAGATTGTTTCTGATATAGAATAGGTTGATGCTGTCAATGAGTGTTTTCTCTAATGTTAGAGATGCTAATCAGTATGTTGTTTTGTCCCCAGGTTGATGAGGCTGTTGCTGTATTGCAAGCCCACCAGGCCAAAGAAGCCGCTGCCATGTCCAAGGGCGACAAGTGATCTCTCATCACTTCCTCCATTTGTCATTTCTGCACTGTCAAGCTAGACAGGGAACATCTGGACAAAAGACAATTTAGCTGAAAAGAAGCTGGATTGTAAATTGCAGCTGTTTGTGCAAGCAAAATTTGTCTTGCATGGTTTTGTCTGTCCTTTTGATGGTGCAGAAAAGGAGCCCCAGTGAGATGGAGAAATTAAGATCCTGAGGAAATCTACTTTTGCTGTGAATTAGGGCTTTAGCATTGCATGGAGGGCCAGGCAATATGGGAAAATAATGTGGTTCAGGGACTGAGACAGACCACTTGAGACAGTGAGTTGCATCACTCCAGGGTTGTTATTTGGCACACATATGATGTAAACAATTACACGGGGAGAGAGAGAGAGAGGAGGGATGCAACTGTCATTTCTACGATTTGCAGTGTGTTCAATTTTCTGTGATAAATGTAGCGCTTGACGAACCCACAAGGCAAGAGGAAAAGAGGAGGTCCAAAACAGACCTGGAGACGAAGCCTGGAAAAGGAACTGAGGGAAACCAGTTTAACCTGGGAGGCTACCAAGAACATAGCCACTGACCAACAAGTGTGGAGGACAACTGTTGAGGCCCTATGCTCCTCAAGGAGTAGAGGGCTAAGTCAAGTATTTTGTCCACTTTGGTGCAGTTTTCCATTCTTAAATGTGGGTAGGCAACAACAAATGTAGATTTGTGGAGCCATCTCTTCGCTGTCCCTTTGATATGATCCTTTTTGGATTGGAAACCACACAAAAAATGAGCTTGGGTACACTGAACATGCTGTCATCAAACTTTCTTAAAAAGTTTCTTAAAAAGGCTTCTCAATATGCCATGTTTTACCCACAAATGCATTCAAATAGTTAACCAATAAGGCTGTGCAATATTACCGGTAAACCGGCATATCCCATACAGTATCTCGCGATACGATTATTGCGATATGGTTCGGGTTCTGCACTATTGGGGCCGTCCAGACTTAGCTCCCTTTCAATTATCTGCCCTTATTTCCATAACAACAAAATATGCTCGGAGCCTCTGAAAGTGCCAAATATACTTTTATTTCTGTTGGTTTCATGTAACATTTTACAAGTGGAAGTGTCTTTATAAGTGGCACCCAAACTGCCAAATATTTTACCAAATGATTTAAGTTTTGTGGCTTTGAATGGTTTCATATGTGACGTTTTGGAGGAATCAAGGGACCGTTCATAATTTATGGCTAGGGGGTGATGATGATTTTTATGGAGAAGCATGTACAATGTGAACGACCCCCCCTAAAATTTATGTACAAAATAAATTACCCCCAAGCATGTCATGTACAAAATCAGTGGCCCCTCCTCCCCTTCCCATAATTTCTAAGTGTAATTTTAGACATAATTTTATGTACAAAATTGCTGAAACACCCCCACCCCCAGTATGTGTGTACAAATTTGCTGACACCCCCAGCTCAAAATGGGTGGAACCCCCCTTAAAATCATCATCCAAACTCTCCTACCCCACATCCATAAATCTTGCTTTTCTTATTTTTTTATTTATTTGGTTTTTATGCCCCCGCCATATATGGCGGTGTCCGTCCGTTCGTACGAAACAGGGAATGTATTCTGTCCACTTCTCCACCATAACCGCTCTGTGGAATTCAATGAACTTATACATGGTCTTTCTTGGGACTCTAATGGTGTGCATCTCATATTTTGTTTTTATATTTTATTGTTTTTTTTTGTAAGTTTAGAGACATTTGAACTTAGGTACATTTTGCTGAATTTCTCTATGATGATAGTGTAATAGGGGATGAAGTCTATCCACTTCTCTACAAAAACTGCTCAACAGAATTGAATGAACTGCTACATGTCTTTTGTAGGGACTCTAAAGGTGTGCATTTCATACTTTTTTATGCAATTTCTTAATTTTGTCACTTCTACAGATGTTTGAACTTAGTTGAATTTGGTTCTATTCATCCAGTTCATCCCATACAACAGGGGGTGTACGTTATCCACTTCTCCTCAAAAACTACTTTATGGAATTCATTTAGATTACACATGTGCTTTATAGGGACTCTAAAGGTGTGCATCTCATATTTTGATTTTGTATTTTATTTATTTTTCCAATTTTAATGCCGTTTAAACTTGCATAAATTTTGTTGAATTTCTCTCTGAATATAGTGTTATAGGGGATGAAGTCTATCAACTTCTCCACAAAAGCTGCTCAACAGAATTGGCCTTCTATGTGTGTTTCATTGGGACTCTAAAGGTGTGCGTCTCATACCTTGTTCATCCAGTTTCTTAATTTTGTCACTTCTACAGATGTTTGAACTTGAATTGGTTCTATTCGTCCAGTTTGTCCCATACAACAGGGGGTGTACTTTATCCACTTCTCCTAAAAAAACACTGCACAAAACTCATTTAGCTTACATATGTCTTTTATAGAGACTCTAAAGGTGTGCATCTCATATTTTGTTTTCGTATTTTATAATTTTTTGTATGTTTAGAGAATTTTGAACTTAGATAAATTTTCCTGAATTTCTCTCTGATGATAGTGAAATAGGGGATTAAGTCTATCCACTTCTCCACCAAAACTGCTCAACAGAATTGATTAAGCTTATACATGTGTTTCATTGAGACTTGAAAGGTGTGCATGTCATAGTTGCATAGATGTTTATTGAACTTGTTCGTGAATTTTGTTCAATTATTGATCTTTTTATGTCTTATGAATGTCAGCGGGGGCATCCGTGTCCATGGACACAATTTTTTCTTGTTTATACATTTTTATTTCCACTTCATGTTTTACATGTATTATATATAATGCTTATATATATACATATATAAATAATATTCTCAATACATTGTCGGAAGTACAATCTTCAATTTCATTACATTATAACATCTTCTCCATATAAGTGTCAAAGGCACAAACTTCAACTTCCACCTCATGTTAAACATGTTATGAGTTCAACGTTATCCCACATTGTCAAAAAATATAAGCATCGATTTCCACTTCATGCTAAACATGTATGTTGTATATATAACATTGTCGAGAGGATAAATATCAATGGCTATTGATACAGGTATATACGCCATAAATAGAAGTAACATGCTTCCTTGTATTAATTATAGCTTGATATCTACAGATCTTACCCAGATTGTATAACTTGCTGCAATGAAAGGGATTGTTTACATAGATGCCATGATTACATGTGACATTACTTAATAAACATCATAATTGTGTTGCTTGTATCAATGAATACTAATATTGACATATATGACATGATTTACATATTCAATTCTCTTAACTTGATAGGTTCAGAAGATTATATACTCTTGTATAACTTGGAATACTTTAGACATTTTTGGGGGGTGAGTCAGAATGCTGCACATCCTAAATATGAGTTAAACAATATTAGGTTCTCTTAGTAGATTATGTAATGATGACCAGAATGTATAAACTTGTCAAGTGTACATGTTGAAAGGGCACTATATTTTGTTGCTTCATAGTATCTGCTTATCTCCCTTTGTACGTGCTTGAAATTTGGGATTGCTTCTTTTACCTTTTGGGAGTATATGACTTGTTTAACAACAAGACATATGGCATTTAATGAGTTATTATTCCTTCCTTTAAATCCAAGTAAGATATTTTCAGAGTTAAATTCAATATTACCTTCTGCTACAGTTTTAAGCCATCTGGTTAAATCACTCCATATTTCTTTTACATAGCTTCACTAAAAGGTGAACAATTGTTTCTGGTTCCTTTGAACGAAAGGTGCACAAAGCAAATTCTTTAATACCAATTCTATGTTAATACTTACTTGTAGGTATAATATTATATAGCATTTTCATCTGTAACCATTTTAGGTTACTACTTCTAGTACATCTGTTTCTCATCATGTATATATTTTTTATCATTTCACTATCATATTTTCTTTCAAAAAGACTCTCCCACTTTTCGTGTACATATGATTTTTCGTAGGTTGGTTCTAGAAGAGACAGATAAAAGTACCTAGTACCCTTGCCGTTGTTGATAAGTTTTGATATATTGAAAGGCATTATTGGAGAGGTAGGTAAGGGGTCTAAGTGTACAATATGATATCTCTTCATACATGTTTTAATGGTTGATTTCATGCTTTGATATCTAAGGATATTTATCTTGATATTAAAAACCTCCTGCAGTTCATCATGTGTATAGAATTCACCTGTATTTGGGTTAATCAAATCATAAACAAAGTGTATCCCTGCATTGTACCACTTTTAAAAAAACCCCGTTTCGTTACCCACTTTGAATAGGGTATTATACCAAAGAGATTGCTTTAGGAAATCTGTTGCCTTTAGTGCCTTGTATTGTTTGTTAAAATGTGTGTCATATGCGATAATTACCTCTTTCCAGAAGGTATTTCTTATGTTGGGGATAATATTATTTCTTATGTATTCAGGGTTGGCTACCCATAGTCTGTTATCAACTAGTGTCTTCCATTTACAATTACTGGTATAGAACCTTTTTACCCATGAGATTTTCTGAGCATTAATCATATCCTTTACAATTGGAGCACTTATTCCACCATATTCAGTTGGCAAAGATAATGTTTCCCTCTTAATCTTGGCTGGTTTAGATTTCCTTATAAAACTGAAGCACTTTTTTGGGAATGACCTAATCAAATCGTCGGGTGATGATGGAATAGATGAAAATAGAAGATTAAGTTTCGAAAGTAGCAAAGATTTCAGTACTACATTTCTTCCTATTGGAGTGAGTGTTCGAACTGACCATAGATTCATTTCATTTCCTATTTTCTTAAGTTTATCTTCATAGTTTAGTTTAATCATCTCATCAAGGTCACCGTCAAACATGATCCCTAAAAGTTTAAAATTACTTTGTGTCCAATCTAAGTTCCAGTCTTTACAAAAGCTTCAATCTGCATATCTTTTTTGAGCCAATCCAAATCAGTCTTGTCTTGTCTGCATTAACTTTCAGACCAGAGAATCTTGCATAAAATGATAGGGTATTCAGTAATGCATATAGACTACTTTCACTGCCATCTAAAGGAAGGGTGGTATCGTCTGCAAATTTGGCTAAGTTGGAATTCTATATTTCCCTTTTTAATACCCTTTATATTTTTATTATTTCTTTTAAGTATACCTAGAATTTCAGCACATAAAATAAAAATATATGGTGAAACAGGATCTCCCTGATGACAGCCCCTGCTTATTGGGAAAAATGGACTAGCAAATCCATTTACAAGTACACTTGAAGACATATCATTTAAGAAAGTCTTTATCCACCTTAGAATACTTGGTCCAAATTTGAAAAATTTAAGTACGTTTAATATAAAGTTTCTGTCTACAGAGTCAAATGCTTTTTCAAAATCAATAAGGACTAAGAGACCTGGTATTTGGTAAGATTCAGTGTATCCCATAAGGTCATATATTAATCTAGTGACTTCACCCATATATCGACCTGGTACAAATCCTTTTTGGTCTTCATTCATTATTATTGGTAATATTGTTTTTAATCTATTAGCAGCAGAAGCTAATTTGTAGGAAGTGTTCAGAAGTGAAATTGGTCTCCAATTTTTAAAATACTTTTTTGGTTTATTATCTTTAGGTATACATGTAATCAATCCCTGTTTCTGTGTTACAGATAAAGTTTCATTATTATAAGCAAAGTTTAGTGAGTTTATCAAGAGTCTGCTTAGATCATTCCAAAAGAATTTTAGGAATTCAGATGTAAATCCGTCTGGCACTGGGCTCTTATCATTTTTCATTTTGTTAAAG